CTGTTGTTTTAAAAGAGCAATAAAAATGAATTATGACTAAACGCCTTCTCACTTAATGGTTTTAGACGGGGATCCCCAGCCCCGGCAAATACGTAAGAGGATTTTTATTTGTGCATGTGTTCCTGCAATTGATCTCTTTGATGACATTCTCATTCATAGAAAGAGTTTGATTTATGACTTTCGGAAGAATTGCGTTCAGCCCTTCCAGCTATAACCCACGCATCCCAGCTCCACAACGTGTTGCAGGGCTGGGAGACAACACTCCTCGCATGGACGGACAGCAAAGCCCCATCCGCAAACCCCCGCTCAAGCCCCACTCGCCTGGGTAATGGAACCACACGCAGTCACTCACACGCGCGGAAGCGGCCCCCGCCCCCGCCCAGACTACCCTGCCCCCGGAGCGGCAGAGCCCCGCTGGCATCTGTTGCTCGGTTTTAGCCCGAAGGACGGGGCTCCCCCTCCTCTTCGGGGTCCGGCAACGCCGCCGGCCGGGTGGCAGGCAGGTTGGCGGAGATTTCTGAACGCCCATCTTTGCTACCGCCGGCAGAGAGTGGGGAGCCCCGAGGAAACGATAACTTTAAAGTCAGAGTTTCCCCTTTTCGTTATCAGTCCTTCGCCCCGCAAGAAGGTTTTAAAAGAAAAATATCTTCGGCTGTGCCCGCACAGCTCCCCTCAAAAGGACCGAGTGGAGGGGCTGATTCCTCCCTCAATGCTGTGGGTTTTTTTTTTCCCCTCTACGTTTCTGCCACCCTTTTGATTTTACAGGCACTAACTTCTCCGTTTCCTCTCCTTCTAGGGCCGGTTTCTTGGACCGCTCAGCACATGAGAAGTAACCAAGCGCATTCTCTGTGAGATCTGGTATTTTTTAAGATACGCTTCCTGAAACAGCTTGCTGGCTGCTAAGCACTACTTTCTAGAAAAAGAGGAATATTTCCCAGAAAAGGCCTTTCGTGTACATAACAGGCTAGTTTCTGCAGGAGACCCTTATCTTACTGAGTCTCTCTTAGGTTTTGCCTGTAACAGAAAACGTGCTCGTTCATGCTTTTGTTACAGCTCAGCATTTCCAAGCTTTGTATCCTCACGGAGATAAGATGCTACATATATACATTAAAAGGAAGAGGTCTCCATCAAAGCTGTGAATGGTTTTAGTTTCTTTGGTTCGTCTTTTGTTGTGGGTTGGTTTTTTTTCCTTATGGGAACCCTTGCAATAAAGAATTTGAACGTGTTTTTCCTCTCTAATAAACGTCCTAAATTGCCAAAAGGGGAGAGATCGTAGTCAGAATGTTGGATTTTGATTATTAGTAAATTAATAGCAGAAGGGATGGGGAGAAATACCCATCTTGTTATCAGTCTTGAAAGGAGAGAGAAAGAGAAAGGGAGTAAGAGAAAGAAAAAAGAGAAAGCTCCTTGTAGCAAACAAGAATTTATTCTACCAAAAATACTTATGACAACGCATCCTAATGCAATACAAAAATAAAAAGAAAGTGAAGATACAATTCCTATATGATCACTTTCTTACAGACCTCATATATTGCTTTCATAGAAGGACCTAGAATGTGGCTAGGTTAAAATTGAACACAACTAAAACTTTGTAAGAAACGGCAAAATGGCATAGCAGAGGGAGGTAACAAACAGAAAATTCTGACCAGGAAGGGGGGGAGGGGGTGTGGAATAAAATTAATTCACGGGAAAAATAAAGAAGAATAAGGAGGAGAAAGCAGGACCCTTGGAGGGGACGTCTTTAATTTCTCAGTAATTCAGATGCTGCAAATCAATTGTGGTGAGTGTGTCTGTAAAAAAGTCAAAACTGTCAGCAGAAATATCTACGGGACTGTCCAGAGATCCTGGCAAACTGGGGGAAACTGCATCTGAAAGCTGCAGGCAGGAATCTGTGGAGAAAACGTTAAAGTCCTGTAAAGAAGGGACATCTAGGGCCTCAGGACTGTCATTGTTCAGGCCAGCTGCACAGTTCTGGGCCATTGTTGAGAGGCAGTTTTGAACAGTGGGTGACTGATGTTGAAAATGTTTCAGATTTTTCTCATTGCTCGTTAAAGGCGAAACGGGGAAAGTTTGGGACTCGCCATTGTGCGCATTCTGCGCCTGCTGCTGGGAGAGGGCATTCTGCTGGAAAGCGTAGCCTTCCCGCTCCAAGAGAGCGCCGGAGACGTTGCTGAGGGCTTGCTCGAAGAGGGATTTCTCCTCCTCTTCCTCCTCCGCCGCTTTCTCGGGGTCCTCCAGGCTCTTAAATTTCCCCTCGCTGTTTTGGTTTTCCTTGCACTGGGTCTGTCTCTTGTGCTTCATCCTCCTGTTCTGGAACCAGACTTTGACTTGTCTCTCAGTCAGATCCAGCAAGGCTGCAATCTCAACCCTCCTTGGTCTACAGAGATACTTGTTGAAATGAAATTCTTTCTCTAGCTCCAAAAGCTGGGTGTTGGTGTAAGCCGTCCTCAGCCGCCTAGATCCACCGCTACCGCTATCGGGGATTTCAAGGGGGTCTGTTAAAAAAAGAAAGAAAAAAAGAAAAAAAAAAAAAAGAAAAAGACCACCACCACACGCACCCCAAAGCACCACCACCAGAACAGCGAAAGCAAAAACACACGCACGCACACACAAAACAGATAAATGCACGGATTGAATTTCAGCACCCGAGCACATCGCATCCCGGAGGTGGCAAGGGGGGGGGAGTGCTCTCTCTGCACGTATGTGTCTATATCTATATGTCCATATAGCATAAAATAGCAACTGCAACAAAATGGCCGCCTTTGGATGCAGTAAACCCATTGTGTTGCACTGCTGAGCGCCCGGTGCTGCGTGCCCCTCGGCCCCCTCCGCCAAATTACTGCCTCCAGCTCCCCAACCTCCCCACACCAGAGCAAACTTTATATTAGCCATACCGCAATTTATAATTAATGCATCAGCTGCTTAGCTGAGCGGGAGCAATCTATCACTCTTCATTACTGTCAAATATCCTAACTCTAGGACGGCGAGACAAGAGAGGTCAGCTCCAACTCAAATAAATCATCCCGCATTAAGCAAGTTCGGGGAAAGTTTGGGTTTCCAG